GCATTGATTTATGACGAATTAGTGTAAATGCTTTACATGCTATCAGGAAAAAAAAAAAAAAAAACTCGTTTCATTGCAAGAAATACCTCTATCCAAACATAACCTGTGGAATCATTGCATTTCCTCCCATCATGGCATGGCGTCGCGCGACTATTTCTAATGAACATGCCACGGCCAAAATAGCTGAGTTAATATTAGCTCCTCATAGAGCGCGCCCCACCTGCACTTGCCCACATGCATTGGAAATATCTTTATACTTGTCACGGGAGATATTCCCAATGCATTGTTGGATATGCATGTGGGGCATATATAAGGTAGGGTTGTGAACGGGTCGAGTTTGGATAGAACCGGAGTTGATCCGATAAGAAATATCAAGGACCTGAAATTGATCCGGATTAAATAGAGTTTGTAATTTTAGACTTAGAATTAAACTGATCGGTTCTCAGGGCAATTAAATCTAACCCAATGGATCTGATAATAATTGGGATTGAATTAGTACAGGACCGGATGGAACTAGTTCCAAATCAATAATAATCAAAACAACATCATCGGTTCTGATTCCTATAACCAGAACCGACCCAACTGATTCCTGTAACCAGTTGGTTCTGGTCCATCAGGGCCGACCCCTCCCACTGGTGAGAGATATATGTTGTGAGCCAATGAGAATTTAATGCCGCCCAATACCAAACACCACCTTGACGTTGGTGAGACATCAAATATGAGATTCACAAATTTCAACACAGTCACAATCACAAGACAATGGGGAGACCCCTCCATAAAATGTGCCATTCTTTGCAATAAATTTAGGGCTTCATATCAACTGAATATCTATCTATATATATATAAAGTGCTGATGTGTTCACATTTTATTGAGGGTTACATGCGACGTGGTCACAACAAATCTTTTCCCCCGAGCAATGAAATAGCCTTCCAAACATAACATTTTTAAGGTATGTCTGTTTCAAGTATACACAGCAGTTGTTTGTTAATAAGTAATAATTAATACATCAATTCAAAACGTTTCAAGTTGAAGCAGCAATGATGCATGATATCAATCAGAACTCTAAGGGGTGTTTTCTTATTTTGGATTTTGAGAGGGGGGAAAGTTGGTCAATAGGATTTTGGTTCCTATTAACTAAGAACCCCATGTAATTCCTTCAAATTTATGTGGAGATCAGGAAAAGTTTATTTTCCTACGTATCACTAACCTAAGTGATACTTATCTCCTAGGTGGATAAATAATTTTCCCACCTATGAGGAAAGTTGTCAATACTTGAATGGAACCAAAATGTATCATTTATTAATGAATTTTTATAGTTAAAATGATCATTGTATTGTTTACATGAGAAATACATATTCCTAAAAAAAAACTTATCCAAATAACTACATTTACCTGAATAAATAACTTACCGAAAAACAAACAAGACTTAGATATTTTTTGACGGGAACCATTGAAACCCGTAAAATGCATAATCCTTCATCCAGTCATCACTCGCATGCTTCTTACCTGGTTGTACAGATGTAGGCCAACCTCAAAAAATTTTTTTTTCATAAGTTACGTATGTGTACTTTTTACCCGAAAAAGAGCCTTCTCGGGTCCAGTAATCTTTTGTCATGTGGGGAGAAGAGCCTTTCTTTTGTAGTAACTTCATGGACAAAAATAATGCAATAATACATAGAATAGAGGAGGGAAATCCATGTAGAATGCTTTAATTCCTTAATTATTAAGATTCCAAGTTTCAAGTTTTCAATTCATGGTTGATTTAATTCATCCGGGCAGACCGGTGATCCGGTTACAATTGCAATTTGGGTCAACCTCTAATGTGTTATATCACAAAAAAAAAAGACCTTTGATTTGGTCAATGACTCAATGATCTGGATTGTTCAATCGTGGATCCATCCAAAGTTCCAAACCATTCAATTGGTCACTGGTTTTTATTTAATTTATTTTTTTTATTATTTTATAATGATGATATCATAAGTTTACCTAAGTTTCAAAGTATCGATACATCCCGATATACCGATATGGTGTTTCAATCATACTTTGCTTTTTCTAAAAAAAAAGAAAACTGGTCAATGAGTTGGTTTAAGGCCTGCCTACCCCCAGAAATGGATCAAATAAACCCCAAAAATCCTATATTCCATGTATCTATCTGTGACCTATTCATACAATACATATCGGTCATCGGCTAATACGTTGAGAAATTTTGATCCTTTAGACTCCATTGAAAAGAGTACAAATACAAATATATACAGTATGAATATTTACAAAATAACACAAAATATAAGGTTTTGCACTCTACAAAATTGTATTTATACTCCTTTCAAACTGAGCCTTACATTCACCCACTGACCTGGATAATAAAACTGTTGACTCATTAAGGCATAAAAAGAGAAAAAATGCTTCAACCTTTAGATCAGGTTTTAAAAATTACCAAAAAGTGAAGAAGCATAAGAACTTCCCCAAGATCTGGACTTAAGGATGGCGCAGTAGTACCAGTGGACCACAGTCGGCTTGTTCTAAATATGGCCCAAGCTGAAGTACATGGTTGCATGTGGAGAGGTGGTGTGCTTGTATTATCCAAGCTAGCTACTTCTTTCTCCTTCACAGGAACCAAAATTAACACAGAAACCCAAGTTTCAAACTTGATTTATAGACTGTGATTTCAAGTGGGCTATTAAATTATTTCAATTGTTTTATCATGGATACCTCAGACTATCCACAAACAAATATTTTTGGCCGAATATGTGGTTTTCCTCTAATTTAGGGAACATAATAGTGCTGAAATCTGATATTCCCACCAATAATGGGAACTGGAGCAGTTTGTTAATCAAGCCAAGACAAAAAACCATCATAACATTGCTTCAATTGGTTTGGTGGGTAGGGTGACAACGGAGCAAGTGAAGCATTTGGAGATATCAATTGATCTTCAGAGGGTCTGAGCAGAAAGTTTGCTGGAGGAAAAGAAGACGACAAGAGAGTTAAATATACTTTTAATTTACATTAAAAAAAAAAGAATGGGCTCCAACATAAATATTCCAACACAAATGGGAGGAACCGATCCAGTACCCATGACATCTGAGTACTGAGAGCAATTATTGGGTTCATTCAACAACAAATGTTCCTTCTATTATTGCCCTTCACTGCTGATTCTCGTGCTACCTTTAATGGTGGCATCCCATTTGAACTCTCTATCTCCCTCACTTCTGAAATAGTTCCATGTCTAAATATTCTTGATGTAATGATAAATATGTGTTAATAGGGTAAGATTCGAGTCAAGTTGAGCCAAATATCTAGTTATTCAAGTTTGGCTTGACAGAAAAATATGAGACTGATTAAGTTTGGCTTTGAATTCGATTGAGACAGAGAATATGATTTTGTATTCGATTCAGCTCAACTCGAATTCGACAATGAATTAAGTAAATATAAATAGTTAAAAAACTAAAAATACTATAATATAATATAAATTCAATTAGGCTTACAAATTTCATGAATCAACTTTAAATAACTAATGAAAAGCTCGATTTGTATCCATCTCTACACATAAATAAATTGTGGAAGTATGTTGGTGAGAAGAAGAATTCACCCACATTAAAACAAGAAACACCCACTTGAAATATAGAATTGAGGTTAATAGTACTCTCTACTCTTTGGATCTAAAGCCTGTATGGTCATGATGGTCTGATCAAGCAGACATTTCGGCTGGACTAGGATCTTCTTGTGATCCATAAAAAGATGCAATTTCCTGCTTTTGAAGTTTGATTTGATTCTGTGCCCAAAAGCACATGCTTCTCCTTCTACGGCACATGCTAGTTAGATAACATTAAATTCTATATGTATCATATCCTTTCAGCTTAGAGTCTAGACTCTAGAGCGGAGATAATGCATTGGCAATTGCATAATTAAATGGGTCTCAGTCGTCTGACAAATCTCTATCTCAACCAGTGTGAGAGAACCCATGAACTTGGAAGGATTTTAAAAAACAAAGCATGTTACTGGGTGGGGGCCCATTTGACTTACCGGTCCGACCAGATTGAACAGACCTGTCCCATTGACTTGGTCAACCTCCGGTCCGAATGGCACGCTTTGATTAGATGGTGGGTTCTCTATCATACAACATAGTGGTCCCTACAAACAACAGAGTACACAGTGGGGCCCTTCATATAATAAGTGGGTTAATGATGGGCGATTCGAGTCTTGGGTCATCGAAGCAGATGGCGATGGTTTAGCTATCATGCTGCATGTGCATCACGACATGTGGACACGCTCTCCGGAACCATGGGCCCCATGAATGAAAGGCCCAGTTCAACTTAAACCACCCCCCCGCAATTAAAGCTTGGCTTCGAAGGTGTCCATCTATCACCATCGCTTGATCCCTTCATCCACCATATCCAACCCATCCCATTGGATCCACCACTGCCCATCTGCCGATGTCGACTCCTCACCTTTGTTGGGCCTAGGAATTAGACCGCAATTATTCTCGTCTCTGCCGGCCCACCCGCTTGTGGGCCCAGCCGGCGTCATAAGAATCAGAATAATCACCACGTGGATGAATCTGGACGAGCTGATGAGATTTGTAATGGATGCTCTCTTGACTCTTGTTTTGTGTTTCTTGTGTCCTGTGTGTGTAAGAGAGAGAGAGAGAGTTAGAGTTTTATAAAGAGAGGTTCTATCCACTTGTTGATTTCACTTGTTTATAGATACAATTTAAGGGTAGTTTGGAGTTAAGACAGTTTTCCTTTTCGTGGGTCCCACTGAGGTGAAATGACCGAAATAACCTTGCGATGGGGAGAGAGATGACTTGATCTTGATGGGTAATTAGGATAATAGATGGAGGGTGAATTTGGAAACGCAAATATCCTCTCTCCTAGTTTGAGGCTAAACTAAACAAAGAATAATAAATAAGACGACAAGAGGGGTCTAAAGAAGGAGAATAAAGCGGCAGCGACACCTCATGCGAGTGAGTATTAAAATCCCCATTCTCTGCCGTTGGACAGATGGGCTGTCCCTTTTGTCTCTTACCAAAAAGAAAAGAGTAACTCCTCCTCCTCCCTCTCTCTCTCTCTTCCTTCCCTTCTTCTCATTTCATTTCTTCCTCTCTCTCTCTCTCTCTCTCTCCCTTCAAATGCCACAAGCCTACAGCAGATATCCCAATAACTAAGCTTTCTCCCCCTCAGGCCTCAGCTTCCCCCTCTCTCTCTCAGAGGTACAGACACAAACACATTTGTGAAGAGTAGAGGATCATGGGATCCAGAACTAGAAGAAAGCAAAGGTGGTACTCCCAGCCTCTAACACCTCTAATGGAAGGCCCGGATCTCGAAGCTCAAGGTGGGGGAAAGAAGGAGAGCTCCTGGGAGGTAATTCGCAATTGGGTTCGGCTACAAAGAAGCTTCTCCCGGAGCAATTTCCCTGTTTCGTTTTACGGCAGCGGTCCAGCCAAGAGGCAGGATTTGAGGCTTCTGCTCGGTGTCTTGGGTTGCCCTCTCGCTCCAGTCCCTCTCTTCAACGACTCAATTTATCATCTCCCCATGAAAGACATTCCCATTGTACGTTACGTTGCAGCTTTCAGTTCTTATTTCTCTTTCGAGTTTCAACCACTCCCATCCCATTTAATTCGTTAACTATTATTGCAGGAGACGTCATCCGCACATTATATCATTCAACAGTACTTGGCGGCAACCGGATGCTTGAAAGCTCAGAAGTGTACGAAGAACATGTACACCACCGGTACCGTCAAGATGATCTGCTGCGAGACCGAGATTTCATCTGGGAAAAGTGTTCGGACCGTGGGGACTAGAGGGGGAGAGAACGGTTGCTTTGTTCTCTGGCAAATGTCTCCCGGCATGTGGTCCGTCGAATTGGTCGTCGCCGGCAATAAAGTCGTCGCCGGTAGCAACGGAAAGATCGTCTGGAGACACACTCCCTGGCTCGGCACTCACGCTGCCAAAGGTCCCCAACGCCCACTCCGCCGGATCATCCAGGTATTCACAGTTTCTCACTATTCAGTTCAGGCGTTCCCAGTTCCTACTCGTTGTCGGGTTGGGCCGGCCCCAGTCCAGGCCCATTGGGCTTTTTTTGGGCCTTGGGATTAGTTCCCTCAAGATTCCAATCTCTATGCTAGTTTTCTAGGGGGTGGGAGATCGATGCAATGCAACACTTTCCACCTAGATTCAATGATCCCAATTAAATCAAACGATTCGATTCCAAAAATTGTTGATAGCATAGGCAGCCAGAGCCAGATCTTTCGGGGTGGGGCCTATCCATCTCAAAGTTCAAAGTTCAAACAAGTAAAAGCAATGATCACGTTCAACATGGGATCAGACCCCAATTTTTTGAAAAATCCGTAGAGATGAGAAAATGTCCAATGTCCAATGGCTGTAGTCTGTAGAGCAAATCACCTTCCCAATGAACGGTAGATCACTGACAAAGATAGAGAAGCTGTCCCCTGCTTTAGCTGAACCCGAGACATCTTTGTACAGTCACTGCAAGTTCGGGAAGGCACGTGACATCATCATCCCCTCACTTTTTGTTGTGCTGACATCACACCCCTCATCACATAACCTTGGGATTGCCAACCACTGTAATAAAGTATCCCGCGCATTACCTTGAACTTTTCCTTTACCACATTACTAGACAAGAGGCCGATCTGGTAAAGTAGGAAGGATCCACCATATTAAAATAGTCCTTGATTTTATTTTGTGTATCCTCTTTTCTCCAGGGCTTAGATCCGAAAAGCACAGCGAGATTGTTTGCTAAAGCGCAATGCTTGGGCGAGAAACGAATCGGCGATGAAGAGTGCTTCGTGCTGAAGGTAGCTGCCGATCGAGCGGCTGTGATGGAGAGAAGCGAGGGCCCCGCGGAAGTGATCAGGCACGTCTTGTATGGCTACTTCAGCCAGAAGAGCGGGCTTCTCATCTACATGGAGGATTCGCATCTGACGAGAGTGCAGACCCCAGAGACTGATACGGTGTATTGGGAGACAACCATCGGGAGTAGCATCGGCGACTACAGGGACGTCGATGGGGTTCTGATCGCTCATCAAGGGAGATCTGTGGCTACGGTGTTTCGATTCGGAGAAGTGTCTATGCAGCACTGTAGGACCAGAATGGAAGAAGCGTGGAGGATCGATGATGTAGTGTTCAACGTCCCGGGGCTCTCCATTGACTACTTCATCCCACCCGCTGACATCTTCAATCCCACTAATTCACCTTAATTACGTTGATCAGTGTAATAATCGGTTGATTAGTGGGTTGTGGTTAAACATAATTAAGAAATCTAATCGTTGTATTAACTAGTAATACGTGGAGTTAGGAGCAAGTGACACCTTTTAACATTGTGTGATTATCAACTCATCATATGGATAATGGATCAATGGATATGTTTGTCATGGACTTATGGGCTTATGGGCTTGGGTGTGTATATCTATTAAATTCATATTCATTAATGAAAAAACATATTTTTTTCTTTTTTCTTTCTCTCCTCCTTGATGGAATGATGGTTCATTGTCATTTGTTAAACTGTTTTAAATAAATATTTTTCTTGGGTTGTGTGAAAATTGGGATACGTGTTTGATGTTTCCCTGATACCTGGACATTTTTTCACCATTCAGCTTACCTAGGGTTAGAAGTGTAGGGCGGCCCGCCTTTACCGCGGGCCGTTACGGGCCGTGCCACCCTCCTCGGTGGAAATTTTGGGGTTCGGCACGGCCCAGGCCCAGGTGGACCCGTGCTGTGCCGTGGGCTTGAGCCCTGCAGGGCTGGGCCACAGGGTAGGCCTTGGGCCTGGGCCGAACTTGGCTGTACTTTTTTTATTTATTTTTAAAAATTTTGATTTCTTTCCTAAGTAAAATTGTAAAACTAAAATATTTAACTTTCCTTTGAACATTGGGAATTGAGAACTATTTAAAAAATTAAAAAATGAGAAATCTAAGTTATCTAACACATAAATGAAAAAAAAAATACTTAACAAAATTGAAACAATTATGATGGAATAACAAATTGGAAGAAAAATATGAATTTTATTTCACTTAAATTTGAATGGTACAAATTACAAATACAATGATTGGATCATTGCATACTTGGATGAATCATGAATGAAATGTGAAAATGGAATAAATTAATAAAATGTAAAAAATACAATATGGTTACAAAATGAAAATACAAAATTACATTGTTAAAAAATTAAAAAAAAAACATATCAAATAAATTAAAAAAAATTAAAAAAAAATTACAATAATTTGAAAAAATAAAAAATTTTATTTAAGTAGTCAAATTCATGAATCATCATTCATGACTTTCATCATCTGCTTCAGGTGAAATATTAGTGTATTATCATGCCCTCCCTTGTCTTGTAATCTATCTTCTGCATCTAGCCAATCCTTGAAGTAGATGCACATCTCTATGCTCTCATCGTTCATGCAGCTCCTTTTGTCATCCAACACTCAAGTACCTGCACTAAAACAAGACTCCGATGGAACTATAGACACCAGAGGGGTTAGTAGATCACGTGCCATGGCGGCAAGAATCAGATAATTTTTCGAATGTTCACTCCACTAGGCTAAAATATCAAAATTATTTGATCCTTCACATAAATTAGAAAAATTTGCTTGTAAATAAAAATTAAGTTCAGTAAATGAATTTGTTGTAGAACTAGCAAATTTCTGTCTTCTACTTATTAAATAAAAAAGTTTTTCTCTTCTACCACTAGGCTCAAGATAAGAAGTAGAAGAAGATGACGAACAAGTTGTAGGAATATTTCCTAGAAGTTCAGATTCAAATAAACTGTACATTTCAAATAATAAATTATTAAATTTTTTTATTTCCTATATCAATATTCATATTTTCACAATATGATTCAAGTAAAATATCTAAACCATCTTTCCTAATCCTAGGGTCTAATATTGTAGCTAAACAATAAAGAGGAGAAATATTCTTCCAATATTTTTTAAATTTATTTTCCATAATTTCAACAATACATTGAAATTGTGGATTGTTTCTATATTTTGCAAAATAATCACTAATTACCATTAATTGATAAGGTAAATTACAACTACTTGGATAATAAATTCCAGATAATTCATTAGTTACATCATAAAAATGTTTTAAAAATCTCTTATATAGACTATCATTTCCTAGTCTTCCTCAAATATCATATCATTAGGCATTTCTAAATTATAAAAATCAAAAAGAATTTGTTTATGAGATATACAACTTTCTAACATAGCATAGGTAGAATTCCACCTATGCTTTACATCTAATATAAAATGTTTATATTGTAAACCATAATTTTGACATAAATATTTAAATTCATGTTTTCTTGCCCTTGAACTATATATATATATATAGTGAAATATGAGTAGAAATAATATTCAAGGCATCTTAAATACATAAATTTAAGATGTGACATGCACATCTAATATGAAATAATTTACCATTTAAGCATAGTTTTAATTGAGATTTTAAAATATTTATTGCAGAATCATTATTGCTAGCATTATCAAAACTAATAAGCATAAGCATGCAATGTATTTAAAATACTTGTAGCAATAATTGGGCCACTATGTGGCCATTCAAGCATAGTAAAACTTAAAATTCTTTTATTCAAAAGCCAATTTTCATCAATGAAATGGTCGGTAACACAAATATAACAAATATTAAATTTGTATGTCCAAACATCCGAAGTAGTTACAAATTTAGAATTAAGATTTGCTAACAAAGAAATTAAATTTTGTTTATATGAATAAAAAATTTTTAAAGCATCAGTTTTTATAGTATTCGTAGAAACGTTTTTATATTGTGGGTTTACAGAACCACGCAACCATTTTTCTAGCTTTGGATCTTTAGTTAATATAAATGGTTGTTTTGCATGTACAATACACTTAGCAAGTTCTTGTCTCACTTTTTCACTCCCCCTCCCAATCTGTGTTTAGGTTGTTTCTCTCTTTTCATCTTCCTCTTACTCATGTGTGAGCAGATGTCTGCTCAAATGACCCGTACCACCCTTACTACAATAATTCAAGTATTTCCTACATTTTTGGCAAACGACCCTTCCCCTTCCCCTCAATATCCTCTACTTTGAAAATTTTCCAAACCGGGCTATTCAGCTTAGAAGTCCTCCTTTTTCCCCTAATATCAATACCATGATGCGATTGAATATCATCCATGGTGAATATGTTGGGGAATCGATTTTCAGAAGAGCCAACCATTTTTTAATTCTAAAATGATAAAAAATAATCTAATTTGACATACCCGGATTGCCTGTTCAAAATCCCAACTTGATTTCAACGGTTGAAACCTTTCAATGTCCAAGCTTCCCAAATTGAGATACTTGAGCTGGTTGAGCAAGCCTTCTTCTTGTTGAAAGTCAAAACTCCAATAAAGTTGAGACTTGAGAATTGGAGAATGTAGAATCAGACAATCAACTAATCAAAATTACTCAGATTGTAGAGAATTGAGAACGTATGAGTATAAGAAAGAGAGAGAGAGAGAGAGAGAGAGAGAGAGAGAAGAGATTAAGAGAATTGTTGAATTGGTGTGATGAGAATGGTGGAGGATAAGGCTATTTAAAGGAATTGAACATAATTCAATTGCCCAAAATACCCAAAAAACTAGTTGTTATTTAGTTGTTGGGAGGGGTATTTTTGTTATTGTAAAGTTACTTATAACTTTACCCAAAAAGCCCCCCTAAAGTAGTTGTTATATTGTTGTTGGAGGGCATTTATGTCATTTTTTTCAACCCCCATAAGCAAAATACACAAATACCCCCCCTAATATGGCTGTTTATAGCTGTTTGGGGTATTTCTGTAAAAAAACCCCCCAAAAAGCTAAACTAGCCGTTGGGCCCCTTTAGCCGAGCGCGGCCCGCTACGGGCCCCGCAGACCGTGTGGGCCGCGGGCGGTGTGCCGTGCTGTGTTGGCCCAGGGGCGTCGAACCCCCAGCCCAGCACAGCACGGACCTCCAGGCCAGGCCTGGCATGGGCCGTGGCACCTCTACCTAGGCTGGTGTTTGGTGTCGTGGTGCTATGTAAGTGTTGTTGAGTCCTTTTATTGCCATATAAGAACCATGTAGGCATTTTCACTTTACCAAACGAAGGTTTTGTTTGGTTGAGTTTATCGAGTACAAAGGTTTTGTATTATTTTTTATTAGGTTATTAAAACATGATTTTTTAAAGAAATACCATTTAAATGTTTCTTACTCCCTAGTATTTGTCATTTGTGTATGTGTGTTGCACATAACAAATTTTGTAATGATGATAGTATATAATATATTTCCATTTTTTTGTAACTTTTTCATATTTTTACTTCTATAAAATTTATTCTTATTTATCACATTTATTATGGTTCATTAGTATAAAGATATGTCCAAATAAAATTCTTGCAAAGGTAACAAGAATTAATAAAATCCTCATTATTCTTATTTATCATTAATAAAATTCTTACTATTCTTATTTATTATGTTTCATTAATAAATTTAATAAAATTAATAATTTTTATCAGTTACCTTTAGCAGAATTTTATTTGAATTCTTGTTACCTTTGCAAGAATTAACTTCTATATGATAAATCCAACTTCAGCTACTTTAACGCTGAAAACCTTATAAAGAACTGCTATAAAAAATATCACTTTTGCAAATATTTTGCCATTCAATGTTGTGGGTATTAAAGTAATGGAAATGAAAAATTAACCCACCATATGGTGGGAATAAATAAGAGAAAACCATCTTCTACCTTGATGATCAAGAACTAAACCAATGAAAATATGTTAAAAATATTTAAAAAATAAGAAAATAGTTTAAAGAATAAATTGCTCATCCATTTGCAAGTTGGAAATATCTTTATGGTGGTTAACGTGGCCCAACATTGGCTATCGAGACTAGATTTCCAGCACTCGTTTGTTATGTGCCGAGATGCACTTCTAATGAGATTGGAACACATTGTATTTCGCTTGGATGCCCCAGTTCACTTGTGCAATAAAACTAAACGGCGTACTTGCTCCATTATATTTTCATATATTTTTTAAATTTAAAAAAGTGTAAAAAATAAAATGTTCCACTTCTTCTTCCCTCTCCTTTGTTCCTCTCCTCCTCCCTCCTCTACGGCCTCAGAACCAACAAACCAGAACTCTCTCTCTCTCTCTCTCTCTCTCTCTCTCCTTGTTCTTTCTTATTTCCCCTTGTTTATTAACATTGCAATTAGTCAAAAACAGGCAATGACCTCCCAACCGAAGAGAGCACTAGTTCCATGACTTCCCATCTCTCTTTCCTTCTCCTTCTTATAGGAAGACCGAATCAGTCCGCCATGCTCTATTTTTTTTCTTCATTGTCGCCCAAATTTGTAAGATGCCATGACTTGTACCCCTATTCAAGCTTGATTGAAGCAAAGCTGAAATATACTAGCA